TATGTCTAATTGTCGTACACAGGATGTGTACATGTAAATACTAAGACATAAAGTAAATTTTGTTAAACTAGCTTTCACTTTTTCTCTCTTGATGCAAAATTTGCCTTAAAATGTGACGAAAATCAATTAAAACTGTGGTAAATTGGAAAATGAACAAATCTGTAACCCTCCCATGATCTTTATGAATGCTAACGATTTAAACAAGTATCTGTTTTTCATATTTGCATAGCGAAGTATGTATTACTGCCACATTTTGAAATACATTCATATGTAGTAAGTAAAATTAAATATTCACTTTAAATAGTAAATTCCTAAAAGGTGCACGATCTAGAGCTCTTGAGAGGAATCTGGCATTGTATCAAGCAGCAAGTCATTTTATAAGTAGCAAAGAAAACAGAGACTTTAATTTTAGTATTTAGACAAAAGTCATTTTTGTATTGGTGAAGTATATTGGATTTAAACCCTACAATAATTCTGTATAAGTAACGTGTTAAGAAGCTTATACGTATGGTCCACTATTTACTTGTGTTTTTTAAATGAACTCTCATTGGTAAAAGACATTTTGTATATTTGTCTATTTCTGGAGGGACGAATGTCATAGCTAAGACTTCTCAAGGTTAAAAACATTTTGTGGTGGCTCTTATTGTTAAAGTATCCTTCTAGGTTCCTATCCTCTAAGGCATTCGATATCAAACTATTGTTGAACAATGTGTTTTAGAAAACAAAGGCAAATGAACGTTGGTCAACAGTTACTGAAATTAACTTAACCTTACATCACAAAATTCCTTATGATTCGCTTTTCCATGGCCAGATGAAAAAGTCCTAGCTTTTTGTCTCAGTGATATGTTAGACATTGAATTTGTACGACTTGCAGTTTCTAGATGTTGGGAAACCGCATAAAGCACTTCAAAAAGAAGTGAAACTTTATTTTGAGGAAAATTTTAATTCTCCTTTACCAAGACTGCTTTGTGTCATGTTTGGTTGATATTAACCCAGTGCTTCTGGTTAATTTGCTTTAAAAAGTACAAAAGTTTGAAGAAACAAAGACGGCAAAACAAACAGACCAAAGACCGACACTCTGACAAAACCTCATTTAGCACAGTTGACCTAAAGCGTAAAGACTGTAGCCTTTAAAACAAATATCAACAGAATTTATCTTTTTGCAAGAATTTTTATCCCCCCCCCCAAAAAAAACCTTTACCCTTGACGAATCAGAGCAAAATTTCAAAGTACACTAGTACTTAGATTATAATGATCTGAAGTTCAGTAAAAATCTACATCAAATGATAGCCCAAGCTCAAAATTATGAATATTTGGTGGAAATTTTATCCAAAACACAGAGTATGCTAAAATAACCAAATTAATTATCTTTTGATTTCGCTTCAACAAATTATTGAATTATTGTCATTCTATAGGAACTTTCTCACACTTCAAAATAAAAACTTCATGCAAATCAAAAATGTTTTAGATCCCAGAAGAAATTTTATTTATTTACTTTTAAAAATCCCTGTAGTACAAAACAACAAGGTCACCTTGCACCTTAATCATAAGTATAGCATATTTGGATAAAAAAATATTCTTATAATCTTTTGTTGAGGGAATAATTTTTCTTTCGTGATAGATTATATTCTAAAATGGCATCAAAATCATGTAAATTGTTAAAGGTTTCTTCAGGTATTCAATTGTGCTTTTTATAAAATGGCATATTTCAAATATCGTTAATCATGAAACATAAAAGATAAAAAATCGAATTACTCATATCATAATGGGTTATTTTCCATAAAACTTCATAAAGTAGTCGGTTGGTTTTTTTTTTATGCTTTGACAGGAACACAAAAGCATCTAATCATTACAAAGCATGTCTAAACTTTCACACGGATTTTCTTTTTTAAAGAACTACAATCACATTCGGTAAGATCGATGAACAAATTATGAGACGGGATTTTACGTTCCGCGAAGGAAACAAGGTGTATTTCATTTGTTATTATGCGAACAGGTGCGTGTAAACATTTATATAGTGTAAATTAAAGAGTAGAAATTTATTCTATGAAATTTTACCACTAGGAACTAACGAGGTGAAAAGATCAGTGAGATCTGTGTTAGCTCAGAGGACCACACGCTATATTAGAAAAAAATAATAAAAAAAACCCCCCAAAATATTAGCAATAAAACATGAAAATCGAATAAGAATTTAGATATTGTAAGCTCGAAAAGCATTCCGCATCTGTGTGTGTGTGTCCCTGACACGCGAGATATCATCACATTAGCGAGGGAAGGGGCCTTGGTTGCCTGAATGGAGAAACGTAAAGAAATACATACAGCATGACATTATATATACGTATATCTTGACTATGTATCTTAATTAAAGTCAGCAAAATTGAATACCATCTAAGAAACAAGCACTTACAATTGATAAAACCATTCTAACGACCTATGGGTTTAATCTTCCTATACCGCAGTACGTGAATCATCCAGAAGCTAGTTTTATGTCTTATCTTTAAATTGTTTTATTCTGTACGATGTTTTTATCGGTCAAAGTTTTGAAATTATAGTTAATCGCCTGCCACAAAGCTCTGACCGCTGGTCACTTAGACAACAACTTATAATAGATACAAAAGAGAGCAGATTAGCCGGGCTTCTCACCAAACAGCTAAGATCTCCTAAGATGTACACAGTAGTCCTATTCACAAATCTAATCCATTTAAACATCCAAAGACATTAATCGGAAAAACCGTTTAAAATACACAAACAAATAGCCACCACTTTATGCATGTTAATCGCTGGTTCATGCAAACTTACACCAAACTCTCTTAATCCAGTACAATTCATACGCTGGGTACTTGACTGACCAGCTGGTGAAAATGACCAGAACTTAGTATATTAATGTGAGACAAGCAGTCTGGTACACAGTCTCCTTAAGATGGGACCTAGTAGTAAGGATTCGCGATCAGGCAGCGAGAGTTCTGATAAAACCGAGGTAAGACCAGTTTCTTAGAACTCTGCTGTATTTTATCAAATATTAACTCAAGGGGAAATTGAGTAGCTAACGTACATGTAAGTACATGTAGCTTGAGCAATTTGATTTTGAATTTCAATTTGATTTTCCAATAACCTGTTATCAAATCTGTTCCTTATTGTTTCCTGATGTCCATTCTCTATTAAATGTTAGTCCTGCATGGTAGATAAAGAGTTGATCTCTTATGTACTCCTGCTCCTGGAGACTAGAGAATTGATCTCTTATGTACTCTGGAGACTAGAGAGTTGATCTATTATGCACTCCTAGAGACAATAGAGTTGATCGCTTATGTACTCCTGGAGACTAGAGAGTTGATCTCTTATGTATTTCTGGAGACTAAAGAGTTGATCTCTTATGTATTCCTGGAGACTAGAGAGTTGATCTCTTCTGTACTCCTGGAGACTAGAGAGTTGATCTCTTATGTACTCCTGGAGACTAGAGAGTTAATCTCTTCTGTACTCCTGGAGACTAGAGAGTTGATCTCTTATGTATTCCTGGAGACTAAAGAGTTGATCTCTTATGTACTCCTGGAGACTAGAGAGTTGATCTATTATGTACTCCTGGAGACTAGAGAGTTGATCTCTTCTGTACTCCTAGAGACTAGAGAGTTGATCTCTTATGTATTCCTGGAGACTAGAGAGTTGATCTCTTATGTACTCCTGGGGACTAGAGAGTTGATCTCTTATGTACTTTTGGAGACTAGAGAGTTGTTCTCTGGTTGTATGTACAGTTTGGATCGTGGTGTGTTTTGCGAATGCTCCCTTGCTATCCGTGTTGATTTGAGCCACAGACGAATATTGTGAGTGCATAGTGCTAACAGTCATCCTTTGAAGCTTATCCTTTAATTATAACATATAAGTCCTCTGTATGACAAATAAAGTCGACAAGAAAGCTAACTTCTGATTGCATACCTGTACATGTAAGCAACTTTCTACGAAAGACATGCAGTTATACATAAAAAAAGTAAATAGATTTCACTCTAACACCTCATTGTCTTTTGATGTTAATTAAATCAATGCCTAGAATGAGATGTCATTGTCGGTTAGATATGCCTTTTACCAAGCAACACGTGGTGTTTGGTCGATAACAATTGCATTTTAGAACAATTGATAATGGGTTCATTCACTGTTTAAATATTAAAGTTTAAAACATCGTAGAGTATAACATTAACAGACAAAAGAATGATTTAATTAAAAGGCATTTTTGAAATTGGAGAAATCTAAACCTTCGAGAATCCAATTTACAAATGAAAACACAATTAAAGTCATTTCATTTTTCAAATCAAACAGTCAATATTTTCTAAGTATTGGATATATAGCAAAGTCATGGCATTTGATAATATCAAGGACCCTAAATTAAACTACCGGGAGAGGGGTAGAGATTTGTTTCTGTGAAGTCTAAATTTGACGTAACATAAACTCCGGATATTTAAACGACAAAAGAGGCAGTAAGTGGTGCATACGACCAACAGTCCCTCCAGTCTTAGGGATGTATTCCTTTATATACAAGTTTGTACCGGTAAGAACACTTTGGTCTTTAAGAAGAAAAAAAACCCCAGGAATTGATTTTTCCACCAGAAATTTGAAGCGGTGATGATATAATCATAGACTGGGTAGCTGTTCCGTAGACAGCACCGTAAAAGCCCAATGACACGTTTTCTGATCAATTTGGTAGAATCTGGAATGCAGCTACCCGAAGGAAACAATGTTGGATGTTGTTATTCAGGCCATGTATTCGAAAACATTTATTGATTTTTTCATTGTGTATTTAATTTTTGAGATACACATCAGTTTTAGCGTGTAAATGCAATATGCTGAATCTAGATTCACAAATATTGACAATTCATTCGTCTTGAAATGGAGATTAAATCTGTTTGTATATATAAAAAAACAGGGTTTTCTTGATTAAAATTTGTCGACATATTATTAGAAGCCAGGGTAAGTTCATGATAATTATGTGCATTTTTTAAAAATTTCTAGACGGAGAGTTCCAGTTCCGGGTCGGGGAGAATGGAACGCATACGGCCGGAGAAAACGCCTCGACAAAGAGTGCAGTCTGTCTGGCGTAACGTTCGCTGGGCGGAATCATTTCCTGACGAATCTCTCAGCATGGAATCTTCGGAATTAACTCCAAACTTTGCCTTACGAAGGATAGTATTACTTTTCGAGACCAAAAAATACGACGAGTGCGCCACTCTCATCCGTCGGTTAAATTGTGTTACTTTTGGAAATATTCTTCAGGAGGTTCCGATGGAGGTCCTGTTAGATTCCATGCCTTTTAGTCTTTCTATTTTAGAGGCCCTCTATGTCAAACTTTATGAAACCACCCTGGAGACATACCCAAAGGAGCACCTGCACATGGACCTCCTCATCAAACGGATGGTGGCTTGTTTCGCCAGAATGTCCCAATCTGGTAACAGAGCTGAGAAAAACTGTAACAGCTTCTATCCCTCGTGCAGGAATATCTTACGTGTTGTTTCTTATGTTGAACCGAATGTAAAGCAACAATTAAAACAGAAAAAGAAGGCTTTAGACAGGTGTTTAAAACACATGGGGCAGCATGGCCTTGTCGAATCGTCCTGTGGAAGCCTCATGAACCTTCACGATGCTTTAAAATTGGAATTAGATAAAATTGTCTTTCAGTATCGAAACGCCTTACAAAAACTCGATGAGCTCAGTCTATCAGCAAAACACCCGACTAGCAGTTCTGTCACGTCCGGTAAAGCTCCTACCGAAGTTAGCCACCAAAGACTCGTGCAAATGACAAGAGCAGACGTTCAAAGCAGGATTATTAAAAACAAAACCTTATTCAACATTGTAGAACCCGCAGTGACAAATCAGTGCTTGAAAAAGTTATTCCACATTTTGGAAAAACGGATTGAATACGATAAAATTGCATTGTTTCATGACACCGAGCTTCGCAAACATTGTGATAATATTTCAGAGGAGGCTTATCTGTCTGTTATCATGAAGCAGTTTTCTCAAGGATACAGCATAGTTTTGCAGCTTTTAAAGGAGGTGTCCGAAATTGATGAGGTAACTTCCGAGGATGATGACGTAGGTATGATTTCCAGTGACGAAGACATAATGACGCCTATCACCCGAATGGACCGATCAAGGACATTCAATGGATTTACGCATATTTTACCCCACAAAGCAAATGGTAAGTGATTTGTAAGCCCAGTTTAAATATATTATATTGAAATTGAAGTCGATTTTGGCTTTGATGACACTGTTGTAAGTATTTTCGGTGGCACAAATATATTTCAAAATTATGACCGTCAATTCATTATTAAGGAGTAAAAAACTGGGGGCAAGAGTCAGTCGCATTGATGTTGGTAAATTATTGGTCTTTATTATATCATAAATCATCATTATATAATTTTCGGGGGAATCTTTTGGGTTGATTTAAAATTCTAACGACCATATCACATTTCAGATGTATTCTTATTCTCTGATTGAAATATCACATATAATGCATGCTTTAACAAAAGTCAGATAGTACTTTAAGACAATTCACCGTAAGACTTGTTTGAATTTCAATGCTTTGTACAACTATTGAATTAGAACATAGATTTGATGTGAGTCAGAGAAATTCCGTGAACGAGTGCAAACACGGATCTCAAACAATAAAGGACCCTAAAAATGTAATGCATTGAAAATAATAACTAGAAAAGAACTAATAGCGTAATTTCTTTCTTCTTCCATTTAAAGATATGTTGAATTTTAATAATTTTACTCAGGTGAAAATAAACCTAAAATACATATAGATTTATATATAGATTAAATCATATAAGCTAAATTGAGTGCATCATTGACTCAATTAGATAAAAAAAAATCACTCTAAAACACAATTATAAGCTTATATCAACAGAAGGAAATTTACAACCAACTAAATCAAATAAATTCTATAGAAAAAGAAATGAGAAACTATTTCAATATATCTCGGTAGCAGGGTAGATTACGTTGTATGTTAAGAGAACAAACGGAGTAATAAATGTAAATAATAAAAATAATACGTGATATATACAGGGGCGTAGCTTCCATTGTGGCAATGAGGCAACTGACTCACTAGATTTTTCACCACCATCATCCCTTCCCATAATCAACAATACATTGCAGATAATACGTAAAATTAATAGCATTTCTTTTAACGTTTAAAGCAGTTCTATAATGTTGAATTGAAGTTTTAAAGAAATAAAAGCAAAGTTTAATAAGATGCGCTTTCACCTTTTGAAGGTTTTAGTAAACATATTTATTATAACTCTTTTACATTGTTTTGCAATATGTAGTATCATGCTGAAGTCTTTAATAAAGAAACCAGTACAGTAAATAAAATTTCATTGCATTTTAAAACCCCCAACTCCATTTTCTGTCGGAGTGCCCCCCTCCCATATCACCATCCCGAACCTGCTGGGGGCTTAAGGCGGCCCCAGACCTCTTGCTGCTACTTGTATGGTTTTGCCTCACTAGAATTTAAAGTCAAGCTACGCCCCTGATATATATATATATATATATATATATATATATATATATATATATATATATATATATATATATATATATATATATATATAATATTAGCGGGGGGGGGGGGGTAGATCATAATATATAAATTCAGTTTAACTCAGATTAACTTTGACGTTAATGACGTAATTAACTTAAATGACAATCTAAGATTCATTCTTACCCAAAACAAGATATATTTAGACTACTCTGCTATGCAGTGTCATATTGCTTTCAATGAATTATTGATGACAACGGGTAAGCGGGCAAGTTTCTACGTTTCAAAACCATTTAACAATTGCATGCATATCTTTAAATATCTGAAAATGAGACATACAATTCAAATACCGTAATTATATATTCAGTGTTCTAATAAATGTAAGGTATTAATCATATACTTAGACAGTTGTAAACGATTATGCAGTATACAAATGAACAAAGGAAGACAGAGTGTACGGCGAACCGATACCTCCACGAAGGAGAGAAAAATAGTGTACTGGGTGATACACAGAGGACAGTAACTTGCTTTCTCTCTTATGCAAAGGATCGAGAATGCAGTGATTACAATGCATTTGAGCAGCTAAGCTGGCCTGAAGGGCAATAAAGCGGACAGCAAGAGAGCGAGATCAATGCATTGCTGGCCTAGCTTGCTTTGTTCCTCCCTTGCAATATCGTAGTCATACTCTATAGTTGAGTGGTCCTAGGCTTCTAGCAGTGCATCACAGTAAACTATGTAGAACAAGTTGCTAAGTTGCGGAAGGTTCATGGGATTAAGGATATATGAATGTTACAATGAAGACCGAGTTCAAGCTTAAGGATTTTTGGATGATGGTAAAAAGAATCAGAAAAGACAAGGGTACTAGCATAAACAATCTCACATGAATTGCATTTTATTATAGCTTCATAATACAGTTTACCTCTCTAGGTCTAATAAGGAAGTTTGGGAATTTAAAATGGCTAGTTTAGATTTTATTCCCCTGTTTCTAAATTTGTTAAGAATTTGGCAGTATAATTACATGTAGTGAATGACAGAGTAAAAAAGACTTCTGGAAGACACGCACTGCGCTCTTCATTCCTATATTTCATATATGCCCTAACTAACTCGTATCAAAGAAAAGGCTCGAAAAATGTAAATTTTAAACATTTTAAACATAAAAAATTCTGTCATTAAAAAAAAACTTCGTTTTTTTAAAAAAAAAAACCAAACTCTCGTTTGGGTGACAACAGCCCTGATTAATCTTTATCAAGCCTTCTGGTCCATCGATCACTTAAAAGCCTCTTAGCCTTCTTAGGCAAGACCGTTGTAACTTTGTAATTCATAAAAGTTTTTTTTTAAAAACTCAAATGCAAATTGAAACTAGTTGCAAAATATATTTAATGGAATATGCATTGCATGTGCAACAGCCTTTTTTTTGTGCAGAACATAAAGATGGCTTTATCGTTAACTACATTCTAATATAAATGGAGTCTGCGTTTTAAACGCAAGGAATCTACGTAATTTATGCCTGCTCTCTGAAAGAATATTTATAACATGATTTTTTTTAAAGTTCGGTTAAAAGATTTTCAAATTTTCTTATTTGATAACAAAATGAACAGCTTCTTATTCGTAAGTCACATAAAAAACAGAAAATAAACGAATGTACATTCTAAAGCAGTGTTTTAATGCGAAAAAAAAAAGAATTTGGGCAAATAGAAATACTACGACCCTGTTTTTTTATGATGATGAAGGTTCACAAAGTTATGAATATTACATCCGAATGCCTCATTAGAAAGTCGATCACAGCTATACTGGAGTGCCATATTCATAGCAACCAATGTTCCTTTCTTTACGTGAAGTTTATCCGCCACTTCAAAAGAGCTGTTACCTTTTTCCTATCTCCCACGGTGTTGAAGAGAATCTCCTTAAACAATGTTAAAGAACTGTATATAAAAAGTGATATTACATAACCACCCTAAAAATGTTCTAATTCACGTCAATAGCTCTGATTTAGAGACTTGGTATGTTTGGACATTCACTAATAAAGCATGCTTTATGTGCAGAGATTAAGTTTTGAAGTATCTTTGTAAGTAAAATGAAGGATTTGTATTTGCTGAATTTAATAATATATCTCCATTTTATGTACCCTCGGTAAAGTTTTGCGAGACAGAGTCATTTTATGCACATCTCCAAGTTTGTATACATCTCACTTAATATTGACAGGCAATACAAATCAATTAAGTTTAGGTCACTTAATTAGGGCATTAAACGTCTCTGACTGCGTTCATACGCGGCGATGAAATCTGTATATGCTTTGTTAAATTTGAATTCATGTCTTTGTCATAACCTGCCTCCATGCACACTGAGCAGAAACAAAAGACGTGCGGAAATAAGTGTCTTCTGCTAATATCTGTCGTCTGTGATAGTCATCTAGGCCACAAGACGAGGGTGTTTATCTTTTTCACACTTTGGCGACTTGTCTAAATCCCCTATTTCATGCTTTAATGAATGTTTTCAGCATGTTCAAACTCGAGTAAAATGAAAAAAAGGAGGTTATATGTTTTTCTTAAAATTTGATAAAAAAAAGTATATGTTAATGACACCAATTAATGAAAATTTAATGAATGATGTCGTGGAATACTTGGGGGAAATGTCGTTGTGTGCATGTATTGCAGTAATTGCGCAATTCTTGATTTTTATTTTTTTGCTCTACATTTGTGATCTAATTTTCTCATTACAATACTACGATATACGGATATAGAATTATTGTCTAACTAACCATATGCGCATTACACTATATATCACATATCTATGGCTAAGCACAATTTGAATAACTCGATGCGGGATATCATATTTTTGAAAAGAAACACGATTCGACGAGAGAATCTCAATGTCATTTGGTACATTGCATTACCACACTGAAACAGGTCCGCACTGATGATAAGTACTTCATGGCGTGCTAGCTCTGGGACCCTCGCCCCTTCACTGTTACAATAGTGTTGATTGATATCCGCGTGGATTAATACCAATATTGGTCCAGTGCCTGCGTGAGGATATTTTTTGCGTGTTTTATCGTCGTACAAAGGTACATATGTGGTTAGCATTGTGGCTGATTCATAAGGGCTTTGTTAGGACTTCTTTCTCTACTGAAAAAAAATTGTGCTGGAATAAAATGCCACTTTGGTTCACAGAAAGAAAGACCAGACTTGTAGTCCTTTTTTGTGTGAAGTAAATTGTTACGGATTTTAAATATGAATAGGGGAAAATATTATACGTTATCCTCCGCTTCTTCTGAAAAACTGTCGATGACTCTGTGTTCTAAGCTATGTTCTAATCCTACACATGGACATAAAAAGAGCAGTAAGTATGCTATAAGTAATAATACTGGTGCATTTACAGTAATAAAATGTACACTTAAAACATATTGCTAAAATACAAGCAGTATGTGTACAGTCTTTCATTTCGAGTTACTGGGAATTTCTTTTTTATTCGATTTGAAGGGCATCCATGAATGTTAATTCGACCTTGAGAAGAAAAGTGATATATGAGCTTCTATAATTTTTTTTTTAAATTGAAGATTTGGTCCATTTAGCAGATACCAACCTTCTGATGGCTATAGATATAATTGTTGATAACAAATGCATATCATAGCGATGTCATAATGGATAATTAGATTTTATTTAGAAGTCAAACTCACATGGAGTGCGTACATGTAGGTTTGGACAAAAAATATTGATCAAGAAACCTAAAATTTGACCATTCATATTTGCAATTTTACTATTACAACGAATTCTTTTCAAACACAAGATTTATGGAAATTATGAAATTTATTCTGGAAAAAGAAATGGGATGCATGCTCTAATGTATCATCGGTTCATGCACATGTATTTTTTATATAGCTATCGAAACTGAGGGTTTCAATGTAAAAACAAATATGTGATGTCGCTGACTTAATTAAGAATTTACAGGGACACCAAAATAAACCTTTTCTACAGACAGTCTTATGGTCATATACAATTGTAACATTTCAGTATGACTTCCGTCATTGTGATTAAAACGTACAAAAATATTTCTGTTTCTTGTCTCCTTCAACAATGTTTAAATATTAAGATATTTTATTATGCGACAACGTGTATAAGTGGATTTGTATACAATTAAAATGAACAATAACATTATTTCTTAGCTATAAAATGAATAAGGCCATGGAATTGTTATTCAGTTTCTTTATTTATTTAACGTATTTAGACAAACAGGTGTTTTAAGGACTAATGACCCTCTGCTCCAAATTTCACGACAAATTTTTAAACTTCCCAGCATTGATTTTGATCAAGAGCTATAGCATCAAAATCAAATGAAAAATAGTATGAGGTATGGAGCGCTGCTTATTTTTTCAGAAATGATTTTTATTTCAGATCATAATATGAAGAAATTTTAACACAGAGATTAGGAAGAGTAATAATTTATTATCACAACATAAAATTAGAAATATGCGGTGTATATGAAAATAATATTTAGTGTCATACCTACTAAATTCATATTAGAAATCATAATGAAGCGCTGCTTCCTAAGTCAGAATATCACAATGTTATATGTGGTTGTAAGAAAACAATACATATGTTAGCAAGAGTTATCTTTCTTATAAATATTTTTTCATTGGAAAAAAATGTAATACTAATAAAAATTCTACATTTGGCGCTTGATACATTAAACCAATTTTAAAATGATCGTTAAAAAGATAGAACTTATTCAATTTTTAAGGGTTTTAAAACTGGATTTGAATGTTTTTTTGTCAAACATAATAAAACAATTTGAAAAGTACAGTCAAAGGAAATATAAGACAGTGTTTCCATCATATGCTAAGTTTGATCGAATTGACTGCTCCCAGGTCTTGATAATTAAACTCTGATAAAGTAAACTATGAGTAATACTAGGATATTTTACTTGGAAAGTTATCTCTCTTATCAGGGGGTCGGTCCCCCTTAAAATGATGTTTTATTTGTACAAAAGAACGATAACTTTGATTCCCCATGCACAAAAAGTCCTGTCATGGAGTTATCGTTAATTATTAAGGTCTACTTTTTTCATTTGTTTGTTACTGATGTGGTATTTAAAAGAAAAAGAAAGGAAATTTCGACCATTCAATATTATATATAACAGTATATAATACATTCAAGACAGAGACTCCTGGTTTCTTCGAACATTATACAATTAAATATAGTTATGTTAACCTTTATATTTTCAAAAGCAGAAAATATTTTTTGTGATTTTGTAATCTTTTCATTTTGCATTATTTATAACGCTGAAAAAGAAAACTTTAATCACTGTAGGGGGCAGCACAGGTCGTAAACTTCCGGGCATGCGTGGACGTAAGTTTGTGAGAAGGGATAACGCGTGTGACTTGATTGATAAACTCAAATTAATTTATGGTTATGGTTGTGTGACCGGGTTTACTAATTAGTCTTTTATTTAAATTAGATTGCTTAGATGATGGATGGATACATAATTAATCACTCTTAATATGTAACCACTATGTCCAGTCAAGGGATTATTATGATACGGATTTAACAGGATTATAGTCTGTCCCATGAGCACCTTCATCCCAGTTTCGACGATAGCAAAAATATTTTTTAGTTGCACTGAAAAAAATTAAAGTTACAGTGTATATCATTTACAAACAATCTTTTCTCAGACTGGAAACTTAAATAAATCACAGACTACAAACACGATTTTTAGTCGATCTTTGGAAATCTACATGATTATGTCATGTTGTAAATTTTGAATTTACCGGGTGGCAGTAAATACAAAATTTACAACATGTAAATTTTGTATTTACTACCACCCGGTAAATTCAAAATTTACAACATGACAACTCTGGCATTTGCTAAAAAGCAAAGACTGACCAGAGATCGTTCGAATGTGTCCGAAAAATCGATTCTGAAATTGTTTTATGACGTTACTGACAGAAAGTAATAGAATTTGTTTTATTAAAAGGATTCATTTACGATGTAGCGGCCATCTTATCAAAGTTACATGTACATGTAAATCCCCGTAGACTTTGAATTTATTGCTGTGTCAAAAGGTTTTATGTATTTTGAGGTGCAAGTATGAATGCACAATTTAACAATGTTAGTACCGTGAGACAGACTATAACAGCCTTCATAATGTAGAACAGAATTAACTATTATTAATAATTTCATCTATAACAACATATATGTATCATGTTGGATTCAGATACATGACTTGCATTGATATTCATGTTTTTGCGTGTTTTGAAAAATAATTTTAAATTGGTGATATGTAGCACTTCAATAATTTTTTGCAAGACTGATTTTAAAACAAATAACACACCGGGAATGAAACAAACTGCAATTTTTTTTCTCCTACAGGGCTTCGCCCTTCAATCATTTCCAGTCCATTTCCATGTAAACCAGTAACAGCGGGCTCTAACGGCCTGACGAATGGTCACGCCACAGTAACCGCTTCACCCCTGTCTTCCCTGACGTCCGTCTTCCTAACTAATGGTAGTCGCCATACCAATGGACATGGACATGCGGACACCGTGGAAAAACTTGAACAGGAAGTTAAAGCTTTAAAGTCTGAACTACAGAAAAGTCAAGAAGCAATCAAGAAACTGCAGGAAAGAGAGAGACAACTGCTAGAAAGGTAAACTGGTCTTGTCATCTGTCATTGGTGAATGAGATATAACTAAATGATTTATGTCATGGAAGATAATAATATTATATAATTTTTATTTTAAGGTATTATGCAATAAAATTAAAGTACTTCAAGTATTTTGTCTTTTCCTTGTCAGCAGGACTAAATTCTCACATTTACTACTCATATTTCAGAACGCCATTGGATGCTCACAGTCTTTATAATGGAAGTTTAAACAGTCATTTTGAGGATCTGTCAGTGACGAGTCGAGCCTCAGAACTTATAGGCCAGTACGGAGACCTTTATAGTATTACCCGTCTGGAAACATTGGACGCTCTAGATGCTATAGGACAGCTCAGTGACCTCTCAGTACTTAAAGAAAAGATTCTGTTCTCGGTAGTTGTGGTAGGTGAATAATCGAGAGTCATTTAGCCTAAGAGTCAATTATAACCATTCGAGCCCCTCTGTGAAAAATCAATTAACTACAAGTAGGAGATAACATTTATTTTCCTGTTTTCAAAAAATATAAGACATGTACACTAAAGAAAATATATTACTATATACATATTATTGTTGAAATTATAATAGGTCATATCAAAACAAAGCATTGCTTTTTACCATATTTATAACTCTCCCAACCCGTAAGTGCTAGTTGCCTTCTAAGCTCTTGAGCGATTTTTCTCTTCGACTATTATTAGATTGCTGTTAAATCAAAGTCAAAAATTGGTATAAGTTAGATGTAAATATTGATTTATATATCTAGTCAATATTCGAGAATTTGTTTTATTAATTTTTGGGCATTAGAAGTGGGAGGTTAGGCTATATACTTGTAAGAAAGATGAACCCATGATTAGATGTACTCAGTATTTGTTCTTATATGGTTTCAGGGAGACTTTAGCACAAATCTTAGTTTAAAAAAACCCTTATCGCATTTTAAAACAAACTTAGGTCTACAAGAATTGGATAGCGTGTTGTTTAAAAGCTTCACTTCCTTTTATACACGACAGTTATAACGCTATGTCTTATACGGAAATGACCTTACCAAATAGCCATGTTCTTCACGTTTTTTTCACCCATACAGTTGTCCTTTCGTGGCGCTCAGCAGGCTGTCCATGAGCTTAGGGGCAAAGTTCGACATTTACTCAACCTTCCACATCCAGATGCCCAAAGGAATCATTCTGATCCTTTATCAAATCATATGGAGACACAAATTGCTCAATACCTCTGCAAGACAGCAGGAAACTTTGATGTTTCTAAAACAATTGACGTAAGATAGACTTCATTAAAGTTATAGTGCTTAATGGTGTAAACATTCAAACTGAATATATATAAAATATATAGCTCGTATGCGAAAAAATATGTATGCATATGTATAAAATAATATTTTTATAAATACATCTTTAAACCATATTTGAAACAAAATTAATTTTATCATGCAAAATGTATACTGCAATCATACAAATTTTAGCGGTTATCATATTTGAGTGTCTTTTGCTTATCAGTTGTTGAAAAAGATTGCGCTGAATTTTGAGCGCTCTTCTTTTTGTATTCTTAATATAATAGTATTTTATACGTTTTGTTTTAATTATAGGAAGTTTGCTCACAAATCTACGCAACATTGTATGACTATCCAGTTTTGAAGGACTGTCAAGGATTAAGGCTTTACGTATCTTCGTGTGTTCAGATTGCATGGGGACTGTCTGTGCAAAATCCGCCCTTCCTTATCATTTACGATGCACGGCAGTTTCATCCTGAAATGCATACCCGACATCATTCCTCAAATCCCGAGTCCGAGGAAATTCAAAACTTTGTGTGGCCTGCTCTCACTGAAGGCTATGGTGGTCCATGTGTTTATAAAGGAGTTGTGATCACGTGACACCTAATCCCAGAGGTTGATGAGAAAACAATGTGCGAAATTTGGAATAAATGAAGTATAAATGAGATATGCTTGCTGTATCATATGTTAAAACGGTGTATATCCCTCGGTATCAGTGAAATGTAGCAACTCAACATACGGTTTACATATAATATTTCAGATAATGTTGATATAAGAAAAATTTAAACTGAATTGAAAGTTACTCACAGTCACCGTCGGGTATAAATTTGATACCAGAACGTTTCACATATGAATTCGGGTACCAAGTTTGAACAAGACAGTCCTAAACAACTATGATTCGTACATGTTGCACATTACGTTACAAAACGTTTAATGACCCTCCATGCACTGCACACTAAAGAGTTCTAATTCCATGGTATTTTCCTGCAGTGAGAGTGATCTGAACTTACATATAAAAATAATGAATTGAAATCTTCATCATATTACTCTAACTGTAATCAACTCAAGCATTTTTAACAATTTATTAGGCCAAGATAAATTAATTGAACTCCGTATTTGCATGACTGCAATCTGTTATTGATAAAGCATACCCGTGACATAGGATTATGGGTGATATCCACCACACGCATGAGATTATTAAACACTTTATTTGCATGTATTTTCCCTCATTTAAATAAGCATCAGTGATTTGTGTTCATCAATACTATGTTGTCTTTGAAATTTTTTCGTGAGGGCAAATGCATGCAGGTTCCCTACGTTCAAAATGGAATATATAGGCCCAGTATTTACATCTCTACAGGATATATTTTTCTTATTGTCCAAAAAACATTTTTCATTTGTGTATAGAGGGTCCTTAAAATGAAATTTATCAAAATACGCGGAAATGTAATTTGGCCGAGTGACTGATGGGGGATATACAACGTTCATGATATAAATATACTTGCATTTATGACATTTTCAAAAGTGAAAAACCGTAATTTATTTCATCATTTGTTAACAGGTACATATTCTTAGTGCTATTAATTGATTAATACAGTGACTTCGAAAATTATGGAGGGAATTTTGCAATAGCCAGCATGATAAGGAGTGAAATGGCATTTATTGTTATGAAGGGAATCCGTGCATTTATATTGTTTACAGCATTTACATGTAAAGCTTGAGATCAGAAGGCTCAACTATCGCGAACACCACCACCATCTTCCAAACGTTTATTTTTTGAAAAGCTTAAAATTGCATTATTTATTTGTACTGTTTGATTCTAATTTATATTTGTAATCATTTTCAAAATACATGTAAAACGAAATAAATAATCTACATCTAATCGTGTTTTGTAGCCTTAGCGATATTAAAGAAAACAGTGATTAGTATTGACCAAGAATAGCATTTGAATCTAATGAGTGACCACGTGATACTTCAAATCAGCTATAATATCAAATTTCACAGTATTATAGTAAAAAAAAAACAAAAAACTAGAGGACAGAGGTTATGCTTTAGTATGACTTTCATACACCCCCTTTTTTGTCTGTCCATTTTTAAGAATGCTCCCTCCTTGCACTTTTTAATCTAGTTCTACTACTAGGGTGCAAGTGGCCTGTCCATGATTTTAGATTTAATGTTGCCAATGTTATTAAAAGTGGAATAGTCAGCTATGTAATTTCAAATTGCTCTTTTTACCAGATACCTGTCCCATGTCTAATTAATTAGGGAGTGGGAGGGCGGGGACCCAGGGGTCATCAGATTTTGCCTGAAACCAATAAAACCTCTAGTGGTTACAGAAGAGGCAGTTTCAAATAATATGATATATAATTTCCCATTGTGTTTTGTTTGATTAAAATATCAAAAATCTTAGCATAAATAAAAAACAAAAGGCCCATTATCTTTGAGGGTCTGCTGTCTATTATATAATACATGTAGTACATGTATATGTGTCAATAGTGTGTCAAGAAGAAATATTATGTTTTAATATTTAATATATTATATTTTAATAATACATGTACTACATGTACATGTACCTAGTATATTATACAAGATCTTCCATAAAACATTACAATCAATTTAAATTGAATTCAGAATCACCCGGTAAAAAAAAATTAAAATAAATAATTAACATTTGCAAAGTTTGACCTTATATCTGGAATTCCAACACGCGAAGGTATTTAAAGCCCTGGTCATATTCGGTGGTCAAATGGGGGAACATAAAAACAAACTATGAATATTTGATAAACAGAGAGGAAATATTCTTTGACATACAACCATAAAACAAAGTATCATCAGGAATTACTACTTTCCAAATTTGTTCAATGTTTAAAATCTGCTGATAAGACTTTTATGATCACCAGTCGCCGAGTATTAAGAATGAACCACTGTGAATAATAAAGTGATAATTAGAAATAGGTAGAGACGGTTTGTTTTATTGCCGACCCATGAATCTCAAGAGGGTGAATTATTACTATCTTATACACTTTCAGGAGATTTATTAAGTGAAAGAAAACAGGATCATAAAACTAATCTAATTATTGGCTTCTTAAAACTGTGTCAGTTTCTATGTTATCGTGGTATAAAATCAGAGCCAACCAATGTAACTTCTTTACTTTGTTTAACCTCACCGCTACCCCTGTTAAATTCACTTAAACGGCACAATTTATGTCGGGTTAAGATTTTGTTTTTGGTTAATGGAGTTTATCAAATTAGGAATTTCTACTCATTGTTTATACTCAACCGATGGATGTGTGTTTTTGGATGCTTCGTGAGCATGCATGAATTTATTAGATGAGATTTGAACATTAAAAGTTCGAATTTACCAATGGCTTTGATTTGTATGACATAAGAAAATCGTGAGAGAAATTGACACGTAGGATCATGACAACACATAGGAAACTAAAATACAGCGTGTCCGATGCTAGCCGTCGCATGTATAGAGATGAAACCAACGGGATTTATAGAAAGCTCGGCAATCCATGGCCCACAGAAAACCAACTGAGACAACAAAAATTTGAGGCAAGGCAGCGGCCACTTAGTCACATTTTGGCCTCTAGTTCCTTCAGAGAAGACTATAACAGGGAACCAATAACCAGGGGACAGAGTTTAAGCAATTTGAAGAAAGCACGGTTGAGAAATTCACTGAATCTACCCCATAGTTTTTCTTTGGATTTAGAGTACGATGTGGATGCAAATGCAAAAATAGACGACGGCTTTTTAGCTAAATCTGGGAATCTAAGAGATGTAACAGTCTCTGGGGATTCTGCTTTTAATTTTGTTCCAGAGAGGGATATAATATCTCTAGGAGACATTTCATCCTCTCACGTTACAAACTGCCGTGCCCTCCAAAAGACCCCAAGCGTTGGAAGTAAGAGATCTAGCCTTAGATCTGACAGAATCCGAAAATCATCATCATCATCATCAACATCCTCTTCCATATCGCGAAGCCAATCATCTAATTCACGATCGTCCTCACCAAAAACCAGGTACAAAACAAAGGACATTGAACATGTACTTGATAACGCAACCGACAGTGATAGCGATGAATCATCCAAAATCCACAAGGTATTACGCAAAAGGCCTTCGTTCAAGGAAATATTTCCAGAACCTGTAAACCAAGAATTTATGGACAAATCTGTTGAAAGAAAATCATTTGGTAGATTGTCATTCTCGGAGCAAGATACCAATAGAATTTTCGATTCGGAAGTAAGTATCCAGACAACAGTCAAAAATGATTCTAGTTCTTTAGGAAAAACTAAGCTAAATACATCCCTCTCAAAAGATTCCGGGGAATCAGACTCTTCGGACTCTTCAAAAATTGCACGTCAAGTATTTGACTCCACTGACCATTTCCAGCCTTCACGTAGCTTCTTATTTCCTGGAACTGTAAACAGACCAGAGACGACAACTTCAGATTCCGAGTCTTCGTGCAAAGAAGGCAGTTATATTTTGGACTCTGAGTTTTACCCGTCAAAAGGGCCGTGTGTCTCTGTCAACTCACCTCATTCTTTACCGATTTCAGCTGATTTGCCTTCATTGAACAACACTGATAGTGAGGATGATGGTAACTCCGATATCAAAACACACAACCATAAAGCTTTGAAAGGAAACGTCAAACTGGACAGGTCGGTGTCCTCGGAGGACGGCTCTCCTCCACTTCCACAAAGTAACCCTCCAGACGTTATAGAAAAAATAAGTCTTCATAGCTATGCAGGAAATGATAGTGAAAATTCTGAAGTAAAACAAATGGCCTCTGAAAGTTTTGTGAGCGTTGATAAAAACCCAGGTTGTCCAAGGACGGCAGTTGCGTACTATGGTCCTATCTACGCCAGCAATAATACCCTCATTTTACCAACACAGTCATCACAACTGCCCTTCGATCATTTTGGAAAGCAAGGTATTGCTGAAGTAATGATATTTTAAAAGCAGTTTATATACGGATTCCCATCAGTAAAAATATAAACTTTTGATATTTTATGAAATGATGTAGTAACTATACGACACACACTTTGGTTCCTTCATAGTCTTAAGTACTGTAAAATTACTTATTTTCGTGGAGTCGAATTTTTGTGGTTTGAGAAAGAAATGTAGGCTCAAAGGGATTTGATTTCGTGGTGGAACAGTTGAAGTGGTGTAGAGTTGTATTATTTTGAAATTTTAACATTTTGAGGTGTACATGAATCCGTGGGTGCCTTCATAACAAAAAAAAAAAAAACAAACAAAAAACAAAAAACACACAATGAAAATTTACCTCCACGAAAATTAGTGATTTCACAGTATTTAAAGATTTGATTAAAAAAAGAATAAGCAGCTGAAACATATGGAAAATTGTCTTAATAACAAGAAAAATTGTCTTAATAAGATCAGTCTTTCAAATTCCAGAAACTCTGTCAGATAAGGATACCTCAAGCAACTCGTCTGGTTCGTCTACGTCATCAAACCATGAACACAAGGTTGCGCTCGAGAATCAAATTTCCGAAAAAGAAAATGACAATGTAACTGAAAATGTAATATCTGAAAAGGTAGGCTTAACCGAAAACACTCCAAACCGAAGTACTGCAATTGAACCACAAAATATATGTACACCAACTGGTTCAAAGCATGAAAATTCACGCAGCATTAATGCAGAAATTCACCAGGTGCTGAAGACCTTAGATAACGCCATATTGGGTGTTTCCGCGGATACTACGGAGCAGGAGACTTTAAAACACCGCGGTCATCATGTCGTGGTGGCCATCGACTTTGGTACCACATACAGTGGGTATGCCTACAGTTTTACAAGAGACCCGTCCCATGTCCATTTAATGAGGAAATGGGAGGGCGGGGACCCAGGGGTCATCAACGAGAAGACCCCCACCAGCATCCTCCTGACTCCAGAGGGTCATTTTCACTCCTTTGGCTACAGCGCTAGGGATAACTACCATGACCTTGGCAAAGAGGAGGCAAAAACGTGGATGTATTTTGAAAAGTTCAAGATGATCCTCCATAACACGCCAGTAAGAATTTATACGTAGACTTTCCCTTTATTCAATAATGTCATATGCTTGCTTTAACTGTTTAACCAGTTATATCCTAATAAAAGTATTACATTGTATTATTTAATTTGCGACCATGGAGTTTCTATTGAGATAATCATACAAAAATGCACATGTGAAATTTAATAAGATACATGCACTTTTAAAATAATCATATTTCTTAAAGGTGTAGCTCAGATGTGATGATATTAAAATATTTTTGTATTTAGAACAATATCGAAACTTACCCAAAAAGTCGCATTTATTCTTATTTTATTCGGGCATTTTTTGTTATGACTTCTTGATTAATAAAATCGCCCTTCTATATTTCAAGGAATTAAGCAAGGATACATTACTTAAAGCCTCTAATGGAAGACTTTATCCAGCAATGGCTGTATTTGCCCTGGCTCTGAAGTTCTTCAGGGACCACGCCCTACAAGAACTAAGTGACCAATCAGGAATGAAGATTCTCAATGAAGACGTGCGATGGGTCATCAGTGTACCCGCAATATGGAGAGCTTCGGCAAAACAATTTACCAGACAGGCTGCTTACGAGGTCAATAAGCTCTTTCCATTTATGTCAAAAAGTTTTATCTTATATATGTAGCTGAATGAGATCGATATGGTGCCCCTATTAATGATTAATTTGAAAATTTTACGTATATTTCTAGTGCTCAAACATCGATAAACTAGACCAGTTAAACATAATTTTAATTCTTGTAGGGTGGTTTGGTTTCCTCTCAATGTCCGGAGCAGCTGATCATTGCTTTAGAACCCGAAGTTGCTTCTGTCTACTGTAGAACGTTAAAAATGTACCAGCTTGTTCCGGAAATAAACGAAGAGCGCCCTCTTCAGTCACCAAAATTTGCCTCTGTTGAGCCAATGAATATGAATCCTGCTTGTGAGGATTTGAAAGAAGGTTAGTATATTTTGTACACTTTCTAATTAGCTGAAGATAAATTTTATTTCAAATGTACAGAAAAAATACAAACCTAATGTAAACAATAGAAATCCATATTCTGTGCTGTTTTGCGATGTGCTGAAATTGCGATTTTACCAATTTGATGTTTTGAGGAACAGTATTGGAAAATGCTTTCTTGTCCTCCAGATGTATCAATTGTAGGAGTAAACGAACTCGTTAAAGGTAATCCTCTCCCTTGCCAATCCCCCCTACTAGATGTGCACGTCCTTATACATCAGTCCTTATCGGTTTTCCAGAAATATAACCACAAATATTAGATCAGAAGGTGTTGTAACTGTTACCTTTTAGATGTCAATATGAATATAACAGAACTAGACCAGAAATAATTCTTTACCAGTTTTGATTTGTGTTGTTTGTTGTGAAAGCAAATAGCTAATGATGTCTGCATGATTTTTCATATCCAGGGGAAATATTACTTTTCATTTACTAGTACATCTTTAATGCCAACCTCAGACTTTATCCATAAATTCAAGTCATATCACTAACTGCGCTCCGTTATTAGCCGACCTGTTTTGTATTCTTATGAAGCAGAATTTTACATTTAGATATATCGACAATGTTTTATCAATTAGTAATGTTCATTTTCATTCCTACGTCGATGCGATATATCCCTTTAAACTCCAAATAAATGACATTACAGAGTCTGACACATCTGTTTTCATAATTGGATGTTTTACTACAGAGAGACATTGATGCCAAATTGACAGCTAAACTTTATGATATCACGTGATGACCTCAACTTTTCTATCGTCTTCTTCCCTTATTAATGTAGCATTATACCATTACATTGTACCATCTGCATATAGAGTTTATGTCTCCCAATTGATTCGATACACAAGAGCATTATCTACGTACGAACAACTTCTAATCTGAGCCAGGCATCTGACAAATAAGTTCATGATACAAGGACATCAACACTCTCGTTTAAAATCAGCATTCTCAAATTTTATGGTCGATGCAAGGACCTTGTCTGCAAATACAATTTATCGTTAAGGCAAATGTTTCGTAAGCTTGTTAGGACATAATTTTCACACTTGTCTACGAATTTTAACGTTTACCCGATCGTGACAAGGGGTATACGGCTGGTGTGACCGGTCGACAGGTGATGCTCACTCCACCATGGCACAGATCCCACCTCTGTTTTCAGAAGTCTGTATTTGCTCTGTTCACAATTTTTACTGTTTGATTGGACTTTTGAGTGATTATTGTTCTTTATTTTAACATTTCTATTTGCTTTTAAAATTAATACATCATCCAGAACGTCATGACAATTTCCAAGTTGTATATCCATATCAGATGACTTAGTTTATATAAAAAAATGAGATACAGTTGAACTTCAGTATCTCGAATATCTATTTTGAGATGTTGAAGCGAATTTTAACTTCAATATCAGGAATCCTCAGATAGATTTTTAAGATTTTTTAAGTCTCAGCGAGTTCGAGATATTGATAAAGTTTTATTTACTTTACTTCGATGGTTTTAAAATAAACCCCTATGCGTACATTTGATATAATGACTTCTTGTTTTAGGCAGCCGTTACATGGTTGTAGATTGTGGAGGGGGGACTGTAGATATAACTGTACATCAAGTAGATGAAGACCAGAAGCTGGTAGAGTTATACAAAGCCTCAGGTGGCCCTTATGGGTCAGTAGGTAAGGTCATCTGGCAGACTTATACAAAGCCTCAGGGGGCCCTTATGGGTCAGCAGGTAAGGTCATCTGGCAGAGTTATACGTAGCTTCAGGGGGCCCTTATGGGTCAGTAGGTAAGGTCATCTGGCAGAGCTATACATAGCTTCAGGGGGCCCTTATGGGTCAGTAGGTAAGGTCATCTGGCAGAGTTATACATAGCCTCAGGGGGCCCTTATAGGTCAGTAGGTAAGGTCAGAAGCTGGCAGAGTTATACAAAGCCTCAGGGGGCCCTAATGGGTCAGTAGGTATGACTAGAAGCTGGCAGATTATTAAGAATGTCATGAGGCCCTTATGGGTAAGTATATGTACGTGGGTAAGGCAAGAAGCCGACAGATGTATACAGAGCCTCAGGAGGCCCTTATCAGGCCCGTAGGAAGGAATTTCAGTTTTGGGGGCACAGCCACATTTTCAATAGTGGGGGGGGGGGCACTATCAACTACCAAAACTCTCTTGACAAGCAAAAAAAATATTTATTGAGGGGACACAAGCATATAGTAGCTGTGTTTTCTATTTGTATTCTATATATCGGCAAAATTTTTGGGGGATCAGGGGTGCCCCCCCCCCCTGGTTCCTGGGTAATGCCAGAAGCTGACAGAGTTATAGATAGCCTCAGGAGGCCCTTATGGTTCATGAGCTAAAGCCAGATGTAGTGGAGATGTAGAATGTACTTCACATTCATAATTATATTTATAACATTCACGGTATAATTTTACAAATAAATATATGCAATTATTTTTGTACTTGGAATGAATCATAAAAGGAAATGTTTGCAAGGAAATAATATTGCATGTTTTATTTGTAGTGATGTACTACTAGTATATTGTGTCTAATTATTTACTAATTACACATTACATTAAAGGTATCGATTTGGAATTTGAGAACGTTCTTGGTAGGATATTTGGTAAAAACTTCATGGAGAATTATCGACAGAAGTGTCCTGCTGGATGGGTCGATTTGATGATTGCTTTTGAGTCCAGAAAACGCTCAGCCAGCCCGCACAAGTTATCTCCTCTTAACGTGGCCCTTCCGTTTTCATTTATAGATTACTGCAAGAAGCACAAGGTGATCTAACCAAACACTTCTGCTTCATGAGTATTTTACCAAATTCTATTACTGTCATTTGTGCTACATTAAATGTTTTACAAATATATAAAAATCTTCTTTAACATATAGCTAATTAGTATGGAGCACATCATTAAAAAATATGGAGATAAAGATATTCAATGGTCACGTCTGGGCATGCTCCGTCTGACACCGGAAGCGATGAGGAGACTATTCCTTCCAACAATAAATAAAATCAAACAGGCTGTTGGGGATGTGCTTAACGCCAGAGGAACTAGGGGTAAAATTGTACATCATCAGTTGTGTTTGATAGCCTGTCGGGCTCTAAAAATTGTGACATCACTCAAAATGAAGCATATACTAAAATGTGTTATATTACAAGAAATGTATTCATTCGTTATAGATCTAAAGTATATGTTCCTAGTCGGAGGTTTTGCTGAATCAGCAATTTTACAAGACGGAATCAGAAAAGAATTCGGTTCACTGTTAAAAGTGATCATCCCTCAAGGGGTGGGGCTAACGATTCTGAAAGGTAATAGGGGTTTCATGTGGACTAGGATAGGCAGGATCAATATCAATAATTATTATTGATCTTGTCTAGACATGACTACCACAGACACAATCTAATTAATACAAATCCTATAATGATATTTGTGTGAATCGGGGCCTGTTTTACTAAAGAACTTAAGACTAAAAACTTAAAGCAATATGAGCTGCATTTTTGAGAATTTTATTTTGCTGTTAAAATGTGTTATTATGATAAATTTGTATGTAATTTAAGCCTTTTTGATCAATTAGACGGAAATAAAGTATCAAATTGTTTCAGAATAAAGGATTCTGTACAATCAAATATATAGGATTATATAAGAAATAAATATTGTACAGGACGACAATAATGTAATTTTGCTTCAATCAAAGCTTATAAATATATAGTTCTTCCATCGTAAATATAAACAACAGAAGTTTATAAACATTCTTTTTTTTCTGTCATTGAAAAAGTTATTACAATTTTGCTACAGACATTTCTGACATCAAAGTTGCAGCTCATATTGCTTTAATTAAGTTGATTGTAATATCATTCTGTTAAAAATTGCATGCATAGATAGATACATCTTTCTAAATGCTTTTTAAACTTCAGAACCATATTCAGATTAATGCAAAACAGAAAGCTATTTCCAAAATGAGAAAGTGACAATTTCTTTTATAAAACGGGACCCTGGACTGTATTTTAAAAATATCATTTTGATATTTAGCGTTTACTTTTTTTATGTTAACTAAATGTTAATTGTACTTCACAGGCTCTGTGCTGTTTGGATTGGATCCTACTGTGGTCCACGTTAGGAAATCGCGGGTGACGTATGGACTGGGTGTTCTGAACACGTTCAGACCAGACCTACATCCCGTGGAAAAGAAAATGGTCAAAGGCGATACAGAATGGTGCATGGATATTTTTGATAAATTTGTTCTCGAAGACCAGCCTGTGGCTTTGGGCGATGTAATATTGAGGAGTTATAGGCCAGCCTGTCAAAATCAGAAGAAAATACAGATTAATATATACTCTGCAGAGAATCCAGACACTACATTTATCACGGATACGGGAGTTCAGAAATGCGGCATTCTTTCCTTGGATTTGGAGGAAGATTCTGTGTCCGAGTTATCTAGGAGGGAAATTCAAACCAGGATGGTGTTTGGAGAAACGGAGATCCGTGTTAGTGCCCTGGATGTGTGTACAGGCCATCGTGTCCAGGCGGTTATTGACTTTCTGAATTACTGATTTATCATCCCTCAACTACACAATCTCAGACGAAACTACTTGGTAATTACACATTCAAATTGACATGGCTTATTAAAGGATATATAGCCATGGATATATAGCCATTGTGTTCATGAAGATGTGTGCAAAGAAAGAGATCATAACTTCGACATAATTTCAATGCCATGCTTAACTCTTACTAGTATTTCAAATAGTTCTACCTCAAAAAAGTTCTTTGACTGCTTAATTAGCTGCATTAGATAGACGATGTGGAACAGATTGTTTTAAGTCTGGCCGTCTAAATATGAAATTACATGTAAACGTGAACTTTAAGAAAAAGACTTGAAAATACGTAGTCGAACACGATAATTAAAGGTGACTTACATGTAAAGAAATAGGTCACGATCTAATAAAGACTTGAAAATACGTAGTCGAATACGATATAATTAAAGGTGACTTACATGTAAAGAAATGGGTCACGATCTAATAAAGACTTGAAAATACATAGTCGAACACGGGGATTAAAGGTGACTTACATGTAAAGAAATGGGTCACGATCTAATAAAGACTTGAAAATACGTAGTCGAACACGAGGATTAAAGGTGACTTACAAGTAAAGGAATAGGTCACGATCTAATTACTTGTGTTTTGTAAATCTTGTTTAAGTTACTCATAATTAATAAATGTGTTACCCAAAATTTTCAGTATTCTTGATCATGTACCATAAGTCATTTCTTGATCGGCTACAAGGTCACAAAAGATAACCAATGTACAATGTAAAGAAAATATTAGTTCGCAGCTATTAAAAGTGTGACAGTATATGATGGGGGATAACTAATAATTTTTAAAGGTTTTCAAGAGAAATATATTTGTCGTTGACTAATACTGTAAAATCACTATTAAAATAAAAGTTTTCGTGGAAATATAATCATCCCCTCGCAACAGAATTGGAGGGGATATAGTAACGCGCTTGTGTGCGGGGAAAGGTTAGTTTGTCCTTGTGTGCGTAACGGAAGTTACGTAATTTGCATCGGGATCGATGTCGAATGCTGCCTTGATTTATAGATATGCTCTTTTGTGAGGAGATGCTGCGCTTTGCAGTGTCCTTGTTTTCATATCATGGTATGAAGGGACACACGAATTCATGTCCTCCATGAAATTTCAAACACCTCAACCACGAAATCAAATCCCCCTGAACAAGCGTTTTTCCTCTAACCACGAAAATTTGACTCCAAGAAAATGTGATTTTACAGTATGCGGGGAATACTCGTCTGTCTAAAATGTTTCTCATAAAAAGAATGCTGCTATAAATTGCCTAATTATCGAAATTCACAAAGGAGCCTAAAACCACCAGTATATATGGTTCGGAGTCGTTTTAAAAGCATTTTAACTCGCCAACTTTCTGGTCACCTGTTGTCCAGCGTCCGTCCCATATATTTAACTTCTTCCACTAGGCCAATTTTAACCATAGTTGGTACAAAGCATCTTGGGTAAAGGGGAATTTAAATTATTCAAATGAAAGGTCAGACCCCCTTCTGATGGGAGATAATCAAGAAAAAGCAAAAATAGGGTTGGGTCGTCAAAAATCTTCTCAAGAACCACTTGGCCAGAAAAAAATGAAACTTATGTTGAACCTTACTGAGGTAGTGTACAATCTAAATCTATTTTTTTTTCAAATCATGGACCCCCGGGTAGGGTGAGCAACAATTTTCACATGGAAATAAATAGAATTTTTGAAAATAAATTCTCAAGAACCACTGGACAGAAAGATGAAACTTATATGGAGGCTTCCAGACATAATGTATGTTCCAACTTGTTCAAAACTTGGCCCCAAGGGGTAAGGTGGGATCAAAGTTGTACATGAGAATAGGTAAGAACAATCTCTAAAATCTTCTGAAGAACAATTTAACTGGATCAGTAAAGATAAAACTTACGTTAAATCTTTCTGATAAATTGTAGATATTAACTTGTCCAATAAATGGCCCCCGGAGGTAGGGGTGAGGCCACAATAGGAGATTAAAGTTTTACATGGGGCTTTATTAGGAAAAAAGAACCACAATAGCACTAATAATTTGCAAATATTTCGCAGTTGTGTAGATTATTTTTTTTAATTATGGACATTGGCTTAGAGTTGGCCAAAGTCTGGATTAAAGTTTACATAGTGCATGTATACAAAAAACTTTTCTTCTCCATAATTGCAAGGCCATGTTAGTCATATTGAGATACATCTATAAAGCATCTCCATGTTGTGTGTTCAGAGACCCCTTATAGTTAAGTCTGGGCCATATTTTTATAAATATATAAAATGTCTTAGAAAAATCCGAAGAAGAATGGCAAGGCTAAAGTTACTCAGGTAAACGTTGTAGCCAATGGGCCTCTTGTTCTTGAACTTAAATCTATATTAGCTGTACATATCTTCCACTAGTCAGAGAAATGTCATCATGTAATATTAAAGCTACATATAGGTCCTTTATCTAGAATAAACACACACTCGAGATAATTCAATAGTCAGGGACAGCTTATTTCATGCAATGTGCAAGAAATTATTTTCATTAACCTTATTCGTTGTTTGTAGAGACTGACAAGAAAGTGTACATAATTTAGGCAAATTTATTTCAAATTAATAATATATTTGAATCCATAAAAATAAACTTGTATAATGCAAGTCATAAGCAACAAGAAACAATAACACGTGATAATTTTACACAAAAGTTCTAAATAAGCTATTCACATTATATTTACAGCTTTGTTATCACAATTTACATGCAGAATTTGCACAATAGAAACAATATACATAGCATGGCACATACAAATATTTATTTACTGTCTTTAGACACTGTAATCACGGATTAAGTAAAATGTATATTATCAAAATAAATAAATCCTGTAGGAATCATTGAAAGAGTTTTATCTCTTTCTACAAAGAAATAATAAAATGTTTGGAATTGAAAGAAAAGTAAAATTAGCCACAATTTGGGTTACTATTTATATCTTAGAGAGGGCAGTGTTCAAAAGTTTTAAAAAATGTTGGAAGAACTACTTACAAAGATATACTGGATCACTTTATAACATTAATCTCGATTACAAATATTGGCACCCACGAAGACCTGCCACGACGATCTGCAATTTGATTTAAATGACTTCTTTCTGAATGAAACATCCTTGGCAAAGTTTGTTCTACATGTATACACTCAGTGGCGGATCTAGGGGGTCGAGGGACCGGACCCCTCCCCCCGGGGGCCCTGCAATTTGCAGTTTTTAATTTCAATTTAAAAGTAACGAAAAAAATGTCCGTGGACCCCTCCCCCCTGAAAAGACGGACAAGTGTAAAAAAAAATTACTAAAGAGACCCCCCTCCCTAATGAAGAATGGTAAAGTTTTAATTATTCTTTATTTTTATTTTTTATTTAATTATTATTATTATTACTTTTTTTTTTTGCTTTTCAAAAGTTTTCCCGAGTCCGACACATGGACCATCCAGGAAAAAAAATACTGGATCCGCCCCTGATACTTAAATCTTTGAAAATAATTTGGAACACAAAAAAATGTGCATTGTGTTTTGCTGGTTCCCTCATTTCGTAAGGCTATGTTTATGTTACCCTGACAGTCAGTAGGCTAGGTTTACGGTACTCTGACAGTCAGTTGGCTAGGTTTACGTTACACTAACTGTCATAAGGCTACGATTACCTTACTCTGACAGTTAAAAGGCTACGTTTACGTTTCACTGTCTGGCACAAGGCTTTATCCTGACAGTTAAAGGTTACGTTACTCTGACAGACGGTAGGCTTTGTTTACGTTACACTGACTCCCACAAGGCTACGGTTACGTTACTCTGACAGTAAACTAGATTTACGTTACTCTGACAGTCAGTAGGCTAGGTTTATCTTACTCTGACAGTCAGTAGACTAGGTTTATGTTACTCTGACAGTTAATTGACTAGGCTTACGTTACTCTGACAGTCAGTAGACTAGGTTTATCTTACTCTGACAGTCAGTAGACTAGGTTTATGTTACTCTGACAGTTAATTGACTAGGCTTACGTTACTCTGACAGTCAGTAGACTACGTTTACATAAATCTGACAATCAGTAGGCTAGGTTTATGTTACTCTGACAGTCAGTTGGCTAGGTTTACGTTACTCTGACAGTGAGTAGACTAGGTTTACGTTACTCTGACAGTGAGTAGACTAGGTTTACGTTACTCTGACAGTGAGTAGACTAGGTTTACGTTACTCTGACAGTCAGTGGGCTAGTTTTACGTTACTTTGACAGTGAGTTGGCTAGGTTTACGTTACTCTGACAGTCAGTGGGCTAGTTTAACGTTATTCTGACAGTCAGTAGACTAGGTTTACGTTACTCTGACAGTCAGTAGACTAGGTTTACGTTACTCTGACAGTCAGTAGACTAGGTTTACGTTACTCCGACAGTCAGTAGACTAGGTTTACGTTACTCTGACAGTCAGTGGGCTAGGTTTACGTTATTCTGACAGTCAGGAGACAGAGTAGGGTTTACGTTACCCTATCATAAGTCTAGTATTATTTTACTCTGTCTTTAGGTTAGGTTTACGTTCTCCAAAAGTCAGAAGGCTAGGTTTATATTAGACAAGCTGTGTTTACTTGACTCATAATGTCAAAGCCTAGGTTTACAACAGAGAGCAAACTAAATCACGACATCAATTTACGTTTAAAAGTTTTAATTTTTGTCGTTATTAGAAAACAGCAAAATAAGAACAGTTCAGAAGATCAGAATGAGAAAATAACTGCTGTTACATGGAAGACTGTACATTGTGCTCTTATTCCCCAACAGTGTTCTCAGCCTATAGATAATTTACGTCATTCTTGTTAAAACTTTTAAAATTCATCACTTATTTTAGGTATATTAAAAGGTAAATAACTAAATCAAAATTTAATTGGTAAAAAAAGCACATCTTCACAAAGAGGGGACTTCTTACATTCTTGAGATGGTTATACTTTTTTCTGCCTCTACCAGAGAAACCAGCTTCGTTGCTTTGTGAGAGGAGGCTTTGCTTTGGATTCAGGTTTTTCCACTTTCCGTGGCTTATCTTCTCCAGGAAGGGTAACTCTGCTAGGTACGTCCTCACTGAGGGGATTCCCTGGCTGTCGTAACTTATGAGGAAAGTAGACCCCCATTCTTGGACCCCTCATACTTTGACTGTGCACAGCGTACGTGGATGATGTGCCTGCCTGTCTGTCTGCGTTAACGGAGCCTGGTTTCTTGACAAACATTGACTTACTTAACCGATCATCCTGTAGAAGAAACGGCATTTTTTATGATGATATACACATATTTTCATTATTTTGCTAAAAGCACTGTTAAGTTTTTGCAAAGCACTTTAAAAATTTAAAAATATACCTTTCAATAAAGCTGGGATTTTTGCCTCATGAACTGAGCAGTTTATTTTTATTTTTCTCTCTTATTAGCATGATTAGTGGTTGTTTTATCTGACATTTTTTTTTACATGTAACGTTAGAGATGAATACATCATTCAATCACCACAAGTCCTCAGTGGGGCATGAGAAATCGAAAGTTCAAAGATTTTGAATCCAGCTTTAGTCTCCAAAACATTCTGACCAACTCGAAAATTCGGTTTGAAAATTGCAAATTCGAATACACGCACTTCATCTAATGCATGTTTCCGGCGACATGCCAGATCATTTGGTACTTAGTTTAATTACTCGTTTTATGAACCGCGTCAGGGCTGAGATACCATTGTTTACACACTTCTTTTAATTTTGATAGGTCTTTACTGTAAATCTCAGATTTTAACTGGGATATTTATGTCAAGAAAGACTGGAATACATTCAATTTGATAACCAAGTTATGACCCTGAAATTCATTTCATTCATATTTTCAATACCATGAGCCTTGTCCAGAGGACCTCTTATGAGTGTGTGTCAGTCTTTTTCACCTCTACCCTACACTTCATTGTTTGGCAATGAACAGTCACAATGACTCTTTTCTCATAATAATCTTTGTCAAGAATTATCAACTTCTAAAAACCATTTCCTTGACAAAACTTCATCATCAATCCTACCTACTGAGAAAGAAGTACCATATCTATTGGTATGTTTAAAAACTTTTATTTGATGAACGAAAACTGATCCTAATCATTTTTCTGGAATCTTTAACTGAACCATAAAATCAAAGTATTTCTACTTACAACAAAATGTAACAATCTAAAAAGATATACATAAACACAGGAAGTAAAGCATATCAAAGCTTGAAAAAGGTTTCTTTGTAGGTAAGGACAATAAAAACTTTAGAAAATTTACATCTTGTAAAATTTTCTAAGCACAAGATTATTCACAAACAAATTTTCTTATCTCCCACATAGAAGAGTTACATTGCTACTTCTTCAGTATTTCTTTGAATTCTTTCAATGGAAATCTAAATAGGAATTTTTAATTGTGAAAATATAAAAATAAGACTCTTGAAAATGTTCCCAGAAACTTTATAGTAACAAAACTTTATATTTTCTGAAAATTTTCAAAAAGTATACTGAATTGTAAAGTTACATCATTTCCCCACTTTTCAAAATTATGTGGCTTGGTCAAACATAAAGTTGTTGAACTTATAAACAGAGATCACTTCTTAAGTGAGAGAGGCACCTATTTAAGCAAAGATGATTGAATTTTGGAAGAAAAAAATTGTTTTGTTTTATATATCCTTCAAAGAGCAGGTAACTTGTTTGTAAACACTTTTCAATGGCCTACATATGTAGATTGGATTTCAAGTAGTGCTTTTTAAACAAGAAATTTTACTTGCACATAATTATGTATACATAATTATGTATATGTATATGCTATACTATGTTTCTTTGAAAATCTTTTATCACGTTATAAAATCTATTCTAAAAAAAAGTCACAGATACGAATTTGAGTCAACTGAATTTCTGCATAATTGTCATTTTAAGATATCAGGTCTTTCTGCGTATTTTATGAGGGAAAAAAAAGTTTATCAAACCACATTTCAAAGCAACATTTACACAAATTTCATTCCAGTACTTCTTACTTCTGACACCAGATGATTTTTTTTTGTAACAACCTGATTTGCTTACTGATTTTAGTTCTGCAGATGATTAAGAAAAAGCTACAGTACACAAACAAACATATACCTACATATACATACAGAAACATGTGTATACAAATACAACAAGATAGCCTGATAAAGTGCATATACAAGTATATTGTAAAGACTATGCTAGTTCTACAATTTGTACACAAGTTGTGCATAATACACATAAACATACAAGTACTTACAGTATCTTAGAGAAAAAAGTATGGACATGCATGGCACATGTATGTAAGTAGTAGATTTCTCATTTTTAAGTCATTAATGGATTTTTACATACATATATATATTTAAGCTGAAATTTTTACATCCAAAAAATTTTATGTTTACTTTTTTCAGAAAAAGAAAACATCTAAGTACTAAGTGTATAGCTGTAAATTCAATGGGTCAGGAAAAATTATCTACCTACAACTACTGTGAAATCACTTATTTTCATGGGGTTTAATTTTTGTTGTTTTTGTGGTATAAGAAGACCAACAAATTCCTGACCTCCATGAAATGATGTTAATTTTTAAACTAGATTATCCTGTTCATTTCTTCAACCAGGTGATCAAATCCCCATGAACCAATAATTTTTTCTCAAACCCCGAAAATTTAATTGGTCCCACTAAAATAAGTGATATTACAGTATCGTGAAACTTGTACACTAGATACATTCATACAATTATGAAAATATAAAACATATTAACAAAATTGAAAAAAAAAATTATTCATGCATGATATAAAAGTGCAAACGTACAAGTTATAATAAAATATAAAAATCTAACAGTAACGAGCAGTTTGTTATTAATAACTATAAAGGAAAAACCCTCTATATTTGTACATTCATATATATCATCACAAACAGAATCACATTTCATTTTGTTGTCAGTTTCACAAATTAAGTATAAAAGACATTTTAAAGCAATCAATTTGTGGGTAAAGCTAATTATAAACTGTACATACATTGTATCTGAACGCTCTATACATTCAACATAATGTACGTACATGTATCAGCATTATACACATGTAGAATTGGAAAAATATATTGCCTTTAAAGGTTTAATTAAGATATTTTTGTAGCACATAAGAATAGGATAAAGCTGCATTGATTATTTATGGTATATTCATACCTCTAAAGTGAGTATCATCTGATAAATTGTCCAAGTTAAGCAATAATATTTTAAGCTGTAACATTTATTTTTACTTGTAAATATGACTTTAATCAAAAGATTGTGACTATTTCGTACATTTTTTTTTTTTACATAAATCTAAACACTCGCAATTTCGCAAGTATTTGGCAATCGCTTCATATCGCACTTTATATGGATATATGGGTTTAATGACATGTAAATTAATTGAGATCTGAATGGTTTATGGCAAACTTACACCATATGATGTAAATACTGATCATTAAATAAAAAGTTTGATACTGAAAATATGAATAGAGGTTTAGCATTTAAAATAAATAGAACTAAAATGAGCTTTTAAAAAAAAATAGAGCCGAGAGTCGATGAATAAAAACAGTATAATCCACATGCTGTTCTTAATAATTTTGTTACCTCCTATTTTAGATAAAATTCATATTCTAAACCTTTAATATGATTTTTGTCCTCATTAATTTTTTTTTTTAACTTTTTTCATATGGGACCTGAACAACGATTTAAATGCCCTGGTAGTCAGGTCAGGTAAAAAAACAGAATTTAAAAATTATAACCTATGAGAATTTAATCTTTAATAATATTACAATATTTATATACATAAATAGTATTTTAAAATGCATTAATTAAAAATGTGTCTCTTATTAAACTGTAAAAGTTTAAGATTGATCATCAATTAGATGATAATTTTCCATGTCTGTATGATGAAATACTGAAAAAAGTACTGTTTAATAGCCATTCTCTGTAACCACTTAAACTTTTGTGGCACGCATAGTCACAGATTTTTTTCAAATTTGGCTAGAATTTACCACCTCATAAACTACTCCAAAAAATATTGTTAGATCATATGAATGTTGAGTAGTTACCATGGAAACGGTGTCTAAAGTTGATTTTTTCTGAAAAAATGCAATTTTTGGGAATGGCAATCAATGAAATGCAGCTACTTCAATCCATGTTACTCACAGAAATAAAAAGTATGACATCTGATTTTAAAAGGTATTTAAAAACATTGTTGGTATTCAGTCTATAAATATAAGAAATCTATGATTAAAATAGCAGACATTCATTTAAAAATTGAATTATCTCCCTTTGATAATTGTGAGCTCTTTAGTGCGAGAGATAAAAAAATCATTGGACAAAACTGACTGGAAGTTGTTTACATTATCAACATGTATCCTGGATTTCAAGTAAAATCAACTGGTTTTTTCTATTTATTTAATATGCATACAAATTTTAACCGCTTTGTTTATTTCCTGCATGCAAAAGAATAATTTTGATGAGTGAACAGTGGCGAAATGTAAAAGACCACATGGTACAGGAAATCAGCTCTGTGCACATTCATGATATTGAAACCTAAGCCTCAAGGTCTTAGGAGTTTCAAAATGGGGATAAAAGATAAACTTGAGATATCAGAATTATATTGAATTGGTTGTAAGAAGAGGTACAATGTCCTAGTCAGAGTGATATACATGTATTATAATGAATACAGCCTTGGAAAGTCAGTGCCTTTTTAAAACAAATGTGAAAAAAAAACTGAATTATAATGTGAGAGAACTAGGCTATTGATTTTACCTAAATAATTAAAGTCAAGCTACATTTACATGTTTGTACAGAACTGGAAGTTGAAGTTGAATATTGAATGATGTATGTAAGTTGATGTCTGTCATTAAAGGGATGACCATTTGATGCGAGGGGGGGGGGGGGGTTACAGATTTTAGAAACTAAAGTCCGTTCTTGAAAATGTTGGAAATAAATAATCTGTCCTCAACTGGCAGGAAAATAAATAATCCATCTTTGATAAGTGCTACAACCTCCAACCCAAAGGCACTTGTTTCGGTAATAATTTTTAACCCATATTATAATAAGTATTATTATTATAAAAAATAATAAAAAAAAAATTATTCCCGAAACAAATGCCTAGGCCCCCCCCCCCCCCATTCCCTTGGGGCGGGGTCGATTGTTTATTTTATTTTCAGACTTTTTTCAGTGAAGCAAAAAATGCATAATCTGTCCTGGATCATATTGGAAATAAATAA